ATCAGAGGTGCCGCCTAACAAAACCCCAATCTTGCAACGGCAGTTGCGGACATCCAGAGGATCATCGACGAAGCGCCACCAGATTTTCCGGCCATGGACTGGGCTGCCTTTCAGGCGACCATTACCCAGGCTCTGAACGCACTCGACCAGGCACTGGCAGCGCCCGAAGCGTTGAACAGCCACTTGGGTCAATTGGACCCCAACACTGACAGCCTAGAATCAGTGCTCCAAGAGCTGCATGATGTCACAGCTGGTTTTGAGCTGCAGCCAGCTTTTCTTAAGCTTCAGACCGTGCTGGCAGCATGCCCCGCTCCACCCACCACGCCAGTGATCGCGCCCAAGAAGCCACCCACCGACCTAGCTTCGGCCCTGAGCAAAGTCATCGTTCTGAGCGGCGTGGAACCCAAGCGTCAAGAGCTGCTCACCAGCGCCAACAGCGACCTCAAGCGCCTGGTGCTGGCCTTGATCGATGCCCTGGGCGCCGTGGCAAAAGCGGGAACAACCGACACGATTCATCGCGTGGAAACGCTACGGCAGTGCGCGCAATGCGTGGATGCAAGTGCACCGCCTCCAGCTGAGACATTGCCCGAAGCCTGGGAGGAGCTGTGCCAAGCTCACAAGAAGCTGAGCCTGCTCGAGCAAAATGGTCTTGAGCAAATTGCTCAGTGGCAGCCACCTCCAGACTACGAGCATCAGAATTGGTACTTGGCGTTTGTGCACCACGAGTCGCAAGCTCTGCTGCAGCAGTTACAAGACATGATCGACTGGCAGGCCACGACGCTTTCCATATTGACCTCGTGCATGGGTCATGTGAACAGCTTGACTCAAGGCGTCGATGATGAATCGGTTGCTGCCCACGAGGAACTGACCAAGCTGGAGAATGAGATTCAAAACAGCAGTGCGGCTCTACAGCTCGTGCCCGAAGCTGTTCGGTCTGCTCTCGAGCAGGAACTCAAAAAGCTAGAAACGCGACGCGCTTCCTTGCGACAACAGTTATCAGATCAGCCACACGTGGACCACGTCGCAGAGCTCGCCCAGCTGCTGCATCAGCACTTTCCAGCGCTGCTGGTCTTTTTGCACCCTGAACAGAGCACGATGGGAGCGCGCCTCCGCACTGTGCTTGGGCCCGACCTTCCAGCCAGCCTGATCTTGGAGGCCATGACCGAAGTAGACCAGGGTTTGACGCTCTCCAGCCTGGGCCAGCTCTCTCTCCAATACAACCAAAATCACAAGGTGTACAAAGCCCGCGCAGCACTGCCGAATCTTCCTGAGCAAGATTTGGCTGTGAAGGAGTATGCACTTGCTGAGCAACACAAACAAGATCAGTGTCGGACGTTTCTCCGCGAACTGCGCGCCATGCGCCAGCTTGAGCACCCTCACATCATTCCGGTCCTTGGCGCGCTCGTGGACGTACACAGTGGCCACCCCAGCGCCTACTTGGTGCAGCCGTGGTGTACACAGGGGGATCTGCAGCAGTGGCTCGGTAGGGCGCGGCATCTGGCCACCTCGACCGTCGTTGCGAGTTTGATGACGCAGCTGCGCATGGCCCTGGCGTTTATGCATAGCAAGGGCCTGGTGCATCGGGATGTCAAGCTGAGCAACGTCATGCTGGATGGCGAGGAGGACCAACCTGTTGTGCGGCTGGGCGATTTTGACATTGCCAAGGCTGCCGCTGAAGCCACCATGCTACCATGCACGGCCACTGCATCGTCGGGCACGGCAGGCTATGTAGCACCGGAGGTGCTATTTGGAATGGGTCGTGTGGGCGCACGCCCGGCACAGGATGCCTTTTCCTTTGGCTGCGTTCTCTACAACACGTACATGTTCCCACAAACGGTGCCACCTGCTCGTTTACCCACGGACCAGCTTGCCGACAAATGCAGATGGGATGCAGGGGCAGGAGGTGCAGAATGCAGTTTTC